ATTACTACTAATGTGCACTGCTAACCGGAAGATATCGAAGAAGCCACATGAAACATCTGACTAACTCCATTCAAAATGCCGCTTGGACTCAACGCTCAAATTGTTCAATAGTAAGCCACTCATCAATTCCATGAAACATAAGAGAAAAAATCAGAGAGAAGGCGGCTACGGAGTATTTTGGATGACACCAGGCACTCTGAGACAGAACAACTTCAATAGAGCTCCAGAAGCTGAAAGGATTATTGAAACAACTGCAGAAATGATCATTTGCACAATTATGTACAGTCACTAAAGCAATGCAACAACAACTATTCGATCTGGAGGGCTAGTAAGAAAATAACGCCACATTGTAAATAAACAGAATAATAAAATTAAAATTAAAAAAAATATTTTTCCAATAATGTATACTAGTCATTTAGTAGAATAGTACATTTTGGGTGTTGAACAGAATGGCTGTCGCACGAGAAATAGAGGATGCAAAGAAATATTACTAATTGATAGCGTAATTACACTGGAAGTACGAAATCACTATCGCATCTCTATGTAGACTGGATAGATTACACAAAAATCTTTCATTCGGTGCCTTATTCATGGTTTCTAAGTGTCCTCGACTCATTTAAGATCGATCGAAAACTGGTAGGTTTCTTGAGGGTCTGCATGACAAAATGGAAAATTCATTTGCAGATTAAGAAGGGAACCTGCTGTTACGCGACGAAAGACATTGCAATCTTTGGTTAAGAAATACTCTGGAGTTTGTATCTAACACCGGTTTTTTAACTTACAAAACGAGATCGATATTTTCAAGAGTTTCAACAATACAGAGTGTATGGAGTTTGGGATAAACAAACGTGCTTCCCTTCGTTATCCACGGGCGAGTCCAAAAGGAGAAACAAAATAAGCAAATATCTGGTGATTCGAATATTAAAAATCTTGGTACTGAGGACTCCTACAAATATCTGGATTGCTAGAATTGGTGGGAATTTTCGATTCAGACTTTAGAAACAAGACTGTACAGAAAGTGCTATCCAGAGTAAATAGTCTGCGAATCATGTGTCAATTCAGTAAGTAAAATAGTTGCTATTAATACATGGGCTATTCCCATAGCAACTTACACAATTTCTGTAATAAAATGGATTGATACATCCTTATAGATTTTTGAGAGGAAAATAAGAACAGCTCTTACAAAGCATCGACTACACCACCCTCAGAGTTCAGTGCAGATGTGGTACTTACCTCGCGGTAGTGCAGGAAGAGGACTACTTAACTTGGACGCACTATGCCGACAGTAAGATCGATCTATCGCTTATGTTCATGTTATGTTAATGTATATGCTCTAAGCTTATGTTTACGTTTGCATTGTGAATGGGCCTTAAAGCAAAGCAAGTAATCAGCAATGATCGAGCTTGAATTCTGTGGGATAGTCCTAATCATCATTGATCGAACAGTGGAAGCAAATAGACAAGATATTGTTCAGTTTGATAGAATATCTATAACAATATTATACATTATTGATGCTGCGGTCCTTGCAGATGTCAGACATGAAACAACTGTTGCTGAAAAGAAGAGGAAATACCAACCACTGGATGTTGAATCGAAGGACGTGAATGGACTGCGAGCAGTGAAAGTGCTTCCAGTAGTAGTGTTAGCAAATGGATTGGCCACCAAAGAATGGCGAGAGACCACAACGAAATTAAAACTGAGAAGTATTTGTGGACCATTCAAAAGCTGCATTATTGGGAATAGCAAACATAGTCCGTAAATTCATAAGCCTAAATTGACGCATAGAAAAAAATTCTTGTTCCACTTTACGCGCAAACCATTGTTGCCTTGGTGATTTTGAAAACCCCGATATCAATGTAGATCTAGAGAAAAAGGGAGAGAATAATAATAATAATAATAATAATAATAATAACAATAATAACAATAATAATAATAATTCCGAACGAGATCCTGAGGATAATTGTAAAAGAATACCCAGAATGCCTTTTGAAAGACTTTAACCAGTGTCTTGAACAAGGGAAATTCTATAAGGGTTGGAAACATCAGAAGCTAATTCTCATGCAGAAAGGTAACAAGCCAATCGATCGGACTTCTTCGTTCAGACCTTTGTGCCTGCTGGATACGATGAGCAAATTACTGGAGGGTTTGCTCCTTCTACGACTAAAGAGACATGTCCAATTTTCAACGAGACAATTTGGATTTAGAAAGGGACCCTCGACAATAGACGCGATCTCAGAAGCAGTCCACCATGCAGAAACAGCACAAAGGAATAAGAGTTTTTGTGCCTTGGTTGCGATTGACATCAAAAATGCCTTTAATTCTGCCAGCTGGAAAGACATCACACAAGCTCTAGTAGCTAGGAAGATCCCTGAATACCTTGTGAGGATCCTGGAGGACTACCTCGGTGAGAGGAAAATAATCTACACTAACGGGTATAGGATTGAGGAAGACATGACCTGCGGTGTTCCACGGGAATCAAGATTGGGCCTCTTCCTGTGAAATACCCTATATAACGACCTGCTGAATATCGAACTCCCAAAGAACTCGAGACTCATAGGCTACGCCGACGACACACTGATTATATGCCATAGTGACAACACGGAACTACTGTAAATGAAGACCAACGAAAGACTACACAGGGTTAAAAGGTGGTTGGACCAAAGAAACCTCCAGATGGCTGGTGACAAGACGGAGGCCGCGTTGATTACAAACCGCAGAGCATTCCGCCCCCGGTGATCCGACTGGGGGAGGAACTTATAGAATGGAAACGGCATATTACATACCTGGGGGTGGAAATTGATTCACGACTGAGCTTCGGACCCCATATTACAAAATCAGTAGGAAAAGCCGCAAAGACTGGATCAAATCTCTCCACACTAATGCTGAACTCAGGAGGTCACAGTGAAAGCAAAAAGAAGGTTAATTTCCGCCGCAGTGCACTCAAAAATGCTGTATGCCACCCGTGTGGGCAGATGCGCTAACTAAAGAGTCCACTCCACGGAAATTCACACACATCCAGAGGATGGCCCTAAGGATAATCTCAGAATATCGCACGGTATCCGACAGTGCAGCCTTAGTACTGGCCAGTGTCCCCCCAGTGGCCCAGGAAAGGAGAACAATGTACCTGAGGACGACAACAGACAAACACCAACCCCTGTCACAAAGACAATTAGACAGTATCACAGCGGAATAGAGAAACGATCTCCTGAACCAGTGGCACCTGGGACCTGGAGTACAAAGGTAGATGGACACAGCCTCGTCCCTAACATCAAGGATTGGACCAGTAGGAACCATGGCACAATGGACTTCTACTTGACGCAAGCCTTCTCAGGGCATGGCAACTTTCAAGCATATCTATACAGATGTAAAATCGCTGAAAGCCCGATCTGCGCACTATGTCATGAAGAAGACGACAACGCTATGCACACCATATATAGTTGCAAAGCTTGGGAGGAAGAAAGAACAGACTGCTATCGCAAATTGCGACGGGAATTAACGCCTGAAAACACAGCCCAGACTATGCTGCAATCCAGAGACAACTGGAAAAGTGCGAGACTTCGTGGCTCACGTACTAAAACAGAAAGCCACTACTAAAAGCAGAGAGAGCTAAAATACCATAGCGACCATCTGAAGAGGAAAGCTCATGCTCTCAGCCAATCTTCTGCGTGAAGTAATGTCTCAATGACGGTCCCGCGCAGAAGATACCACGGCCCATGTGAATCGAGCAGGTTAGGTTTTAGTCGGTATGCCACGCTGGAGTGTCCGACATAACCGGACTTACCGGTATGCGTAAAGCATTTCCCCCTCCTCGGCACAAAAAATAATAATAATAATAATAATAATAATAATAATAATAATAATAATAATAATAATAATAATGTCATGCGAACTTTGAAACATTTTTCTCTTCACATTTATTTAACTGATCTGGCGGAAAATAAATCAGGGAAACGTAAATGGAACTGGAAACCCTGGAAATGCCAGGGAAATGTTTCAGAAGAAGTGGCCATCCAGTATTAATTGTATCATTAAAATTATTTAATTATCCTTGTACTTTATGTTATTTATTTGCTAGTAAAATAAGTAATTTGTAAATAAAAAATGATAGAAAAGGGGGCTCAGTGGGAAACGAGAGGGACAGAAATGTATTTCCCCCCCCCCCTCTTGTTTTAGACTGCGCATGCCTACGACTAGAGTATTCAATAAATCAACAAATGAGACTAGCAAGTGATCTCAAAGCAAACCCTGCAAACATGGCCCTTTGCTTGAGGGACATGTGGCACATTAAAGCATTTCGAATGACCTATTTCTTTTTTCTAGTATGGGATCGCAGCCCCTCTGACCTCTTTCCACATTTCTCGCAACGTATCTCTCGGTGTAGTCTGTTGTCTTTACGGAGCGTTTTTTGATAATAAGGCACGAAGCGAGGCAACCTCCCAACCCAGAGAGGTGCATATATTGCAATTGTTTTGACAGGAGGAGCGAGTTTCTGCAGAGCACGAACTGCACGAAGGAAGGGTAGTGGAGGAAACGAACTAGATCGCGAGGGCTCATGTAATGATGCGCATAACATGAGAAAATAACTCATGCTACGGTAATTAAAAGTTCATTTTATATATCCAGATGGAAAATACCGACACAATTATAAAACTGTTAAAATCATTTAAATTTTATTATTGTATATCTGAATTGTATTAGACTAGCACATGTTCATCGGGATGGACAGTAGACATTGCTGATTATACTATTTAATCTCATCCATAGTTGGCCTTAATTACATGTTAATTACAAAAGCGAAAAGCCCGCTGCCACGTCGGATCTCCCCCTCCTGTTCCCACACAGCTGGTCTGTACCACCCAGCTGGTTTTGTAACGGGCTGTAAGAAAAGTAGGTGTTGGGTGACGTTGCGCAGGAGAGGTCAGTTGGATTTGAGTTTTATAATTGACTATTTTAACTTTAATTATCCGTGTCATATCTTAAGAAGAGTTGTCCGTTTGCAGGAATACTCTCCTTATCTTCTGATTTGGATTTCAAACTCTGCGATCTTTGGACTTTGCCTGGGCAAGGTCTACTTCTGCACTCTGTTCGAGAAGGAAAGGTACGTGGGGTTGCTGGACTTCGTGCTTATTTATGACTAGTAGCTATTAGCGTACTATTTATTGGTGGTCCGTGGTTGTGTGTTATCCGACCGAGTATTAACGTTGTGGTTCATTCTGGTTGTAGGATCCGTCCCGTTCACATCTGAAAAGCCATAACGCATCAAAATGAGTTCAGTGTCGCAGGTAATGTGCTGTGAAGACTTCAAATTTATTTACGATTATTGGTGAATGGATGCTACATGGTTAGCACGAATCTAATAGTTCTTAATCATAAAAAAATATTCGAATTAAATTACGAGGATTGTCAAGGTTGTCTGCTTTGGAGGACTTCTATTAAATGATTCTTCACACTGCTTGTATTAGAAGGGCAATTAATTTTTAAAAAATGTTTGTTCTTCCAAACTAAATATATTCTAAAAAAAATATTACAGCGTTAGGTTTATATAAATGAATTATTGTAAAAAATATTGAGGTTGAATTTGAAGAGCAAAAATCTTAAACTAAAAATAATATATGCATTACATCACAACTTTGCTTTCAGATGGTCAGGCATCTGATCCGCCCAGGTGTCAGGGCTTTTTCTAGCTCTCCAGTTGTGTCATCTGAAGCAAAACATCCTAGTGGTATGGCATTTGGTGAGTTTTTTGTTCTTTTTTTTTTTAAATGTTTCCTTTTTCAGTACTGCTGTTTTCAAAAGCATTTGTTCTTGTCTTAGAATTGAATGATACTCAGCGAGAACTCCAAGATTTGGCACGCAAGTTTACCAGAGAAGAAATTGTGCCTCGTGCTGCAGAATATGATCGAACTATGGAGTATCCTTGGGATATTGTGAAAAAGGCGTGGGCCCTTGGCCTTATGAATGGGCATGTTCCATCTCACTGTGGTAAGTTCATAATAATATTAGTGTGTTATGAAAGTAGTTTTACATGCATTTGTGGTCAGACGTAAATAGCAAAAATGTTTATTCTATAATATTTTTTATTGGAGAATGTTACAAGCCAGACAAAAAAGACAAAATAAGTGGTTTCATTGCATTTTCACTTGGTCTGTTTGGAGCAGACTTGCAGAAGGAATTTGCATATTAATGAAGAAATTCTGGCTTTAGCCTCCTTAAATAGCTGTCAATTTCATCTAAAGGTGCAGAGAGATTAATATTTGCAATGATTTGGCTTGTTTTTACATGGATATTCACTTTCATTCCTGTGCTTGTTAAATGAAATTATCCCCTTGTCAAGAAAGGGTGACAATCGCATGTATACATTTTATTGTAAAAATCTTTGGAAATACATAGGCATTTGGAAATACATACATCATTTGGTGAAATTGCGAATATTGTTTCTCCTGCATTATGATGAACAAGTTTTAGGAATTGTGTGATGTATCTGAAAAATGCATTTATTGCTGATTGATGTACATGCTAATAAAATTACAGAAAAAAATATTTGTTTTGGAAAGTAACAGTGAAGGTTGCTCTTAGTTCAGCATGCTTCTCTTGGTTATACAATGAAATAATTACATTTCTTTTTATGAACTTCTGCTTTATGGAGTATATTAGCATTCATCTTACAATTGACCCTTGAAAACTTGTTTTGAAAACATCTTTGTTGTGAACATTGACAAAATGTTGCATGAGGCGTTAGTGTCAATGGGGCTTTTAAAAATTCTATGCTCTGAAGGCATTTCGCTCTTCATAGGTATGGGAAAAAATTGTTTTCATTATGTGGGATTACTTGATATAGAAGAAACATTTCATTTGATCTGCATTGAAATCTGATTAAGTTACTGCATGACGTCGGAGGGTGCGATAGCCTGTTCTTACGTATTAAATGGGTAACTGTGATTAATGAGGGAATCATATTTTCCTATAAAACTCAATAAAAACTTATAAGCTGTGAAAAAGGAGAAAAAATTGGAATCCAGGAAAACCATTATGATATACGAAAATTGATAAAAAGAGGGGAAAACCTACCTTTATTGCTTCTGAAGGTACTAGTAGTAATTTCTAATGTTTGAAGTCTTCTAATCAAGATGAAAATGAAAGTGTCTTGCCCCTGCATACAATGCAAATGGAAGTAAATTTACTACAGATATCATATATAAGATTTAAAATGCTTTTAGTTTTATGGAAGTGAAGGAACCTTAGAATTGCAGTTGATTATCTTGCCACTATCATCCTTTCAGCAGATGTGATACTCACACTTTAAAATAAATAAAGACATGTTGCAAGCTCAATTGTGAAATGTAGTTATTATTAGAAATTTGTACAAGCAATCTAGTTAACAGGTAATTTACAAACAAAAGTAGATTTTTAAATATAACTGTGATTGTGTGTATAAACAGGCTTAATATATTGATAAAAGAAACAAGCTCTAAGTAGTGTCTCATTTCAAGGTCTTAAAAAATTTGAGTAAATTTCAGAGGTGAGTTAATTTGCACAAGTCATTGTTAGTTCATAACTACCAATTGAGCTGAGATGTGATGACAATACCAATGGCAAGGTCGAATTTGGAAGTTTGTTATTAAACTCTGTTCTCATTCTGCGCTTTACAATAATCAATACTTTTCTAATTTACACTCTTTGCATTAGCTAGAGAATTTTTAATAAAATAGTTTCACCTTTGTCACTGTTATCCTTGATTAGAAACCTAGGGATTTCTTAGAATTGTACATGAGAAACTGTAGAGAAAAGTTTAGTGGTTTGTAATATTGAATATTGTAGAAAATTGTATAGAATGTAATAATTATAAAAATATTATCTCCAAGCTTCTCGTTAATGTGTGTTGTTACATGGGTTCTTTGCTGTAATATCAAATTATACTTGAAATTTACTGCTAATATTGTTTCTATTAACATGAAAAAGAATTATTTTGTAGGTGATGCCCTGAGTTTCATTGTGTTCATTGTACTATGCAGTTGTCTGAGTAGATCGATTTGGTTTTATGTTTTGTAAATGCTACTTAAGAGTTCAGAGGAGAGATTTTGTTTAAATATTAGAGAAAAAATGAACATCAATTGCCCTTACAAATTTTCAAAATTAAAAATATTTTGTCATAATGTGTGTGTTTAAGCATCTCATTCATTGAAAATTTTTCTGATGCACTTATTTTTGAAAAAGGTGCCAGAATATTTCGGCCTTTTGTTTATGCTGCATCAGCCAATAAAGAATAATCAATGACCGCGTGAGCTAGCAAAGTTCATTTTTCATGTCAGTGGATGAGGAATCACAAATTTTGCGTACTTAAGAATTTGTGAACCACAAAAATTAAGTAATTTGTTTATTTCTCACCATAGGGATACTTCAAATTCTAATTAAGAACATTTTGCAATGTACGTGGCGATTCAATTCTATTATGTTTATCTCAAACTGTTGACTATAACTATAATAAAAAGATTTGCTCAATTCAGGGTAGATGTACTATTGTTCATCATAACCAATTTCCAAATAATAAATAACCAAAATAATGCAGAGCTTTGCATTTAAATTTTTTGCTTATTTAAAATTTAGTAATGTTTCTTTGCAAATAAATTTGATAGGCTCATATTTCAAAAATTTATTTTAAAATCTGATAAAATTTACTTTATTGCATAAAACACTATAGTATTTAAGAAAAAGTAAGTACATTTATTAAATTTGTATATTTAACAAAATGATGATCAATGCCCGCTATGTTTGTTGCTGCACATCTAAAGTGGTCTTGTTGAAACAAAGAATTCTTGGATGATATTGAGTTGAGTTTATGTATCTGAGAGCTCTAAATTTCCTTTTCTCATTAACATTTTTGTTGAACATTGTTATCATGATCGATATTTTTAATTGTCATAGACTCATTTTAATCCTTTTATTTTATTTTTGAAGATTTCAATATTTTTGCAGATCCATGTTTGTAGTTGTGTATGTGCTAACTTATTGTGTTTTGTAGTATGTGCTAGCTTATTATTTATATAATCTCATTTGTTGAATAAATGTTTTCATATTTTGTAAGGTGATGGGCATTTGTGACTTTCCATGTGAAAGCATATCTATTTTCATAAGAATTGCTTTGTATTAATTGCTAATATTTCTTCTGTTTTCAGGATTTGTTTGTACTGAATATCACTATTTTTGGTTATTTCTTAGCATGCATCTGTTTTTGCTTTTGTCTTTCTTAATCTTCTCTTAATTGCAGCTTGGGAAATGGAGATAAATCTGTGTCTGGAATATTGAAATTTGCTTTTAAATTAATATTTTTGTGAGCTTGAATAATTCTGAATTCTTGTGATTCATTGAATAGTTACTAACATGTTTACATCAGATTTGAGGCTTTGGCACATTGCCTATTAGACCAAGTGAAATATACACTCGGTAGTCTGTATACCTAAAGCACCAAAAACTATTGTGAGGTTTTAAAATAAAAGCTTTAATATTGAGTTTAGTATGAGTTTGGTTACAAAACTAATCTGCTGTTTTGGTAAATAAAAAATTATTGCAGTTTGGTGTAAGAGCATATTGGCTTTCTGAAAATCAGACCATTCATTTTAAATGGGCATTTTTTCATATCTTTGTATTAATGTCATTTGTAGAAACAATGCGAAAGCTTTTACTTGCGTGCATTTTATAGTACCTAAATTTCACATCACTCACTAGGACAACTAGAATCGGGGCTAGAATTAATTACATATTGATGAAATATTAATTAATTAACAAGTTGGTTTCTGTTTTATGTAGTACATATGTATTCCACAACAGATGCATATGCAGTACATAGATTTCCAATTTTTTATGATGAAATTTTCTTTGAAGGAGGAATGTACCAGTTGTACTAAAGAAAACACGTAGCACAAACTTGTGTTTATATAAGAAGATTCTTTTCCAGGTGGTTTGGGTCTTGGTGTCTTTGAACGAGCTTTGGTGACAGAAGAACTTTCATATGGGTGTCCAGGTATCCAAACATCCATCACCGGTTCAGGTCTTGCTGTAAGTTGATATGCATTTCAATTTTGCAGGTGGTTTGGGTATAGGTGTATTTGATGGATGTCTAGTCACAGAAGAGCTCGCATATGGTTGTACAGGTATTACAACTGCAATTGAAGGGACAGGTCTTGGCGTGAGTACATCAGTGATTTAGTTTTATTTCAGTGTTGCAACCTGGAGCCTTGTGTTGAATGTTTGTGTGTGAACGTGAGTAAATTCTGAATTGTTGTTCTCTGGCCTACAGAGTGCTGTTGTCCTCAGAAAGGGAATTTTGTTATGTTGCCGATCTTACTGTGATAATTAAATTTTCAGGTGGCTTGGGCATAGGCGTTTTTGATGGTTGTATGATTGCTGAGGAATTAGCATATGGTTGCACAGGTATAATGACAGCATTGGAAGGCAGTGGCTTAGGCGTGAGTATGAATGATCCGTTTTAGCATGGATTGCTTTGTCTTCATGAGTGGTGACTTTGTGGAGCATGCAGTTAGATTTTTTATTGTGTAGTAGTTGTTTGATATTCTTCTTGGTATACCTATGAGTTTTTGGAGCATGTTTGAGAACTGAATTGTAGCAAGTGTTCGTTGCTTACTTTGTAGCTTGAAAATAATTTGACATTATTAATTTTTCTTTGATTTCTTTCAACCTGATTTGTTAATGTTCTGAATGCACAGCTTAATCTTAAGTACTTGCATCTTTTGTGCAGTTACTTGTTTTCATGCACTGCTATTTTAAGCAACACTGTAATAAGTACATGGTATGTTAGGATTGAAAAATGTGTAGTTCTTAATAAACTTGCTGATTAGTTGTGTATATATGGTTATGGGATATAATAATTCAGGTAATTTGTATCTAAATGCTGGTAAGCACATCAATGTTTCGTGGCAAAAAAATAGACTATTTGAATGCGTGTGGGCTTGCTTTTTAAGAATAAGTGATATAATTTTAGTCGACTAGTTCTTGAAATGCGATGAGTTTATGAAATGTGATTGCATACAAAATATTAGACTAAATGTAAAGAGTATGATTTTAGTTTCATTGAATTGCTATTATGTAAAATTTACGAAGAATTTGAGAAAATAAATATATTCTGTGGATTTCATGAACTTTTGTAAAATGAATTAATCATATTTAATTACATTTATTATGATTTCTTCAAGGAAATGCAGTTTAACTTAGGTTTCTTAATGCAATGACTTTACCTTGCATTGGGAAACGATAATTGGTTAATTGAACATCATTATTATATGACAAGGTTTTACTGATATTCATCAAAATTGTGCCTCCACTACATGAAGGTAGCTTTATAGTTACAATTTCTTTAAAAGACGTCCCCTGTTGGTACTCAACCCAGTACCATTTATGCTTTTTATGATAAAAGTTAGTTGGCTCCTAGAAATTCTGTTTACAATTATATATGTTAAGGCAAAGGTCCAAATCTTACACATTCTCGAAATAGCTGGTGGATCGGTGTTAAAAATGGGAGGGGGGATAAATTTCGAACTGCCTCAAAGCATACTTCAGATGTTTGCAGGATGAAGTGCACAGGGACAAACGTGAGGTGGCTAGGATAACTGAAATGTTATGGTGATGAGGAAGAGCTGTTAATATGTGACAAATAGAGATCAGATTGCTGGAGGGAAGTTTCTTTGACTAGTTGACTAATCAGGGTGTAGTTTCACTATAACTGAGTTGACTCTGCTACAATTTTTCAATTTGATGACCAACTCCAGCATTTGGCTTTCGTTATTTACACAAACAACCCACATTTAATGCCAAAATATTTCTCGAGAACCCATGGCCTCACATTCTAACAATGGCCTTGCTTAAGCTAGAGCCCTGTGCTTAATGCAGCTGAATGAATTCCAAAATCTATTAATCGTTGTCATATAGCTTTATCTAACAGTTTGGCGTCAATTAACCAGCTTCTGTTTACATTATGTATTTTTTGGTCTTCAGCAGAAATGTGTATAGTAGATCTTCTTGAATTATAACAACAAAAGAATCAGCATTTGTTCAATATTCCTCACATCATCTTATTAGTGTTCATAAAATGCATTTTATTTGACTCATAAATTTCATTATATGCAAATCAAGTACTAGCTTTTTAAGGTGAAGGAAGGCAATTGCTTTTTGTATCATTGAAGGTAAAATTTAACGGCTTCATTTTATTAGTGGTCACATGTCTTCAGATGTGTTAATTTGGTACACAAAACTGCATTGCTTTCACATACTTCAATCATCTGATCTTCACTCTTTTAAAGTGTTTCCTGTAGTTTTAGGTGTACTGATGTATCTTCAGTTAAGAAAGTTGTTATTAGAATTTTATAGTTCAATCTCAAAATCTAGTAGATTATAATTGAACTTGTTATTTCTAGCTCAATGGGAAAGCTACTGGTTTTCTTGATAGATGTTGGCCTGTTGGATTCCTCAACTTCAAGAAAATTAGTTTTTATTCATCATTACGTTAAGGCCAACCCAACTAATGTGGACAAATAGAGAGTAGATTCTGTGAACATCATGTTGATATACTTTTTAAAATATGTGGTTTGAGTTTCTTTGAAGAATGTGATTTTTCACCATCAAGGTTTATGCTGCAAGCCTATTCCATGGAGATCTGATATTCACCACGTAATTTCATTATGCTTATTTCAAAGTATATCATCTTTTTGAAGAGTGTGATTTGAGTTTTGTCTCTTGTTTCCCATTTCCTAAACCATTCATTTAGACAGTGCTGCTGGGTGAAATTTGTGTCGTGTATATATGAGTGTGTATGTTGTGCATCTGTATCCACAAAATTTATTGTGCATGTTTTGTTTTCATTTCAATAAAAATGAATGCTTGTTTAAAATGTATATATTGCTACTTAGTGAGACTTTTGCCTTTCATCTAGTTATTAAATACAATTAAGATAACTATGTATCTTTAGTATTTTTTATATATGTGGTATATAATTTTGACATTCATGACTATAGGAGGAAATTTGGGATTGCAGTAGTAATTAGAATAGGAACCTCAACTATTTTTTTAAAGTTTCTGCTTTTAATGATTTAATCATATTATTTACTAAATATATAGTTATATATGTATGTTTTGCATTGTGCTTTTGTTTCAAAACATGTTAATAGAATATTTACTGTATCATTTTAAGTATTTATTTTTATGTTAGCCAAATTAATTTCATAAAGTTTTGTAAATTGAATTTTGAATATTTACTAATATTTTTATAAATGAATTCTTGAGAACTTGCTGTGCATTGTTCATTCACTGTGTAAACGTCACCCCAAAATTAGTAAATTATTATTGAAATCTTAATTTGCTATAAATAGATCCCCAGCTAAAAATACAGCATATTGATGTTTGCTTCTTAATAAAGGAGAAGAAATTATTCAAGAGGAATCACAGAGGATGATAAATTAGTGTGGCTCTTTTACATACAAAAATCCACCAGTGTGGTATGGTTGCCCTAGATTGTAGAGCATACTTTCCTTTTCTGGGAAGGGTGACCAGTATTCTTAATCCAAGGATATCAACTGTGTAGTTTCCACTGTATTGATAACTTTTTTAAATATAAGTTATTGCTTATTTTTCAGCAAACTCCTGTTGTCATTGCTGGTAGCAAAGAACAGCAAAAGAAGTATCTAGGTCGGCTCATTGAAGAGCCTCTTGTTGCAGTAAGTATAGTCTGCTCTTTTGGAAGTTCAAGAGACTTTTTTGTAATTGCAACATAGTCACTGGAATATTTGATTTTAGGAGAATGAACTATTTTGGGATCAGAGTATTTTTGTGTCCAACACCATTATTTACTTTGTATGTAATTTCCACTTGTAACTTGTAATTTCTCATAAATTTTGCATTATATTACTGTATCTACATCGGTCAAATTCATTTGTTCAAAAAAAATTGTCTACTTGAAAATTATTGTTTATCAAAATTATCATTGTAATCTTAAAGATTTTTTTTTTTAACATCAGAAATTGAACATTTTTTTTAATATGATCTGATAATGCACTTTTTTAAGACCCGATAATGCACACTTCATAGATGGAGACAGGTGGCTTTTGCAGTAGGTTAAGATGTCTCATTCTGGAAACAGCTTTTTTTATGTTTAAGTATAATTAAATTGATTTTTAAAGAACTGATATTTTTGAAAATTGCTTGCTTTTTAGTATTTTCAGTCACTGTTTATTTTCTTTTCTGAAGATTTTATAACTTGCTTCTTAAAGTATATGGAACATTCTTTTAAAAAAAATAGGATTTTGTGGACACCTCTTCAATTCAGCTAATAATACTTTTTATGGTCTTTTTGGATGCAAAAAATCTGAAATTAGAAACACAAAGTTGAAAAATAATTTCTTCACAAGAAGTTTTAAAAAACTCATTTAATCTGATTTATCCATTTTCAATGATTTATTTATAAATTAATGCTTAAAATAGTTAAATTAGACCTAGGACTTCAAACTGCTCTTCTATCTTCATCTCCTGCATCCAAATAAACAAGGCAAATTATTATCTTCATCAATTAAGATCATATTAGGACTAAAATGTATAAGAACTCTTGAATTTACAAAATTTGGCATTTTTTGGAAGAACAGGAAAGTGGAAAGGGACCAGGTGAGTTTCAGTAGTGTGGTGAAAAGGTCGGCAAGTCTAGCCAGTTTTCAATTACCATATAGCAAATTCAAACTCCTGTAACTGTATTCTTGAGCTACAGACTCTACCGCCAACATAAATTTTGTTAATGCATTAAAGGAAGACAACGCTGCAAATACAGCCAACATAAAAAAATTTAAGTTTGCTTAGGCTGTAAAAGGATTTAGATATTTCCGCAGTTGTATTCCATAAGATGGGGAGTTCTTAGTAATAAAAAAATGTTAATTCCAAGACAATGGAACTACTCTTTTTATTTTAGAAGATTAGGGAATGCCCTTACTTGAGGTTGATAATCAAAGGTTAAAATGATTATTTGAATTATAAATGAAATGATTATATGAATTATAAAAGAAATTTCATCCTATAAATATTATTTGTTTCATTAAGAGGGTTATATCAAAATTTTAAACATTTTAAAAATAAAACTTATTTAAAAATAATTATAATATGGAACATTTCCTGGAACCATTGGAAATATTTTAGAGGGTGAAAAGGGGTATGTTTAAAGTATTTTTAGCTATGAAACATCAGAATCAATTATGACAAATTTTTGGAATTAATTTTTTTTATATTTTGCACATTTTTTACTTTTTAGCCATAAAAATGATCTTAATCAGGGAGAATAATAATAATTTCCTTTGCTTATATGCAGGAAGTAAAGATAAAATAGCAGGTTGAAATCCTGAGTCTAATTTAACTTATTTAAACATTAATTTAAAAATAAATCTTTGAAAGTCTTTAAATCTGGTTAAAAAGCATTTTCTTTTACTCATAAAAACTATTTTTTAACTTTTAAGGACAATTTTCGAGGTTTACATCCACAAAGACCACAGATCACATTACTAGTTCAATCACAGAGGATGTTCATAAAGTGGTTCTTGGAAAAGTGTCCCATGTGACAGGTTTTGTGAAATTCATTCTGGTTGTTTTATTTGAATTAAATGCAATTATGTAATAGTATGGTAATCATAATGAATTAGATTAATTTAAATTAATTAAAATTCATGAAAATTGCTAAGATGGTTAAAAACAATATGTAATGAAAGGATATTCATATTTCATCAGAAGACAACAGGTTTTTTATTGTTTATAATTGACTTTCATCTCCAGGCTTACTGTGTAACAGAACCAGGTGCTGGGTCAGATGTGAATGGAGTTAGAACAACTGCAGTGAAAAAAGGAGACGAATATATTCTCAATGGTCAGAAGATGTGGATTACTAATGGTGGTGTTGCAAATTGGTGAGTTGTTTGCTACTTTATTCTAATATTAAGTAATTTTTTCTCAAAACCTTGGTATATTTATCTATTATTCCCTTTTACAATTAACCTAATATTGTTCACATGGATAGGTGTATGCGGTGTAAACCAAGAGGGGAGCGAATTACATTTCTGTACCCCCTTGTGCAATATTCAGTCAATTATTGAAATGTGTTTTTATGCAGTTGTAGGAACGGTTGACTCCAACTTGGCTGCATTTTTCGAGTTATTTTCGTACATTTTTAGTTGTTTTTGGCTGATTGGATTTTTTTGGGCATTTTTAGGACTGTAAGGGGGTAGAGTCCAAATTGGTCACCGTTAAAAGGTTTATTCTAAAGTTTCTTTAGGTTTTAACTCAAATTCAGGCCATTACTGTATGAATGTTTCGTTCAATTTTCAATTTTTTCGTAGATTTTTGAAAATCCACGAATATTTTCACATACAGTACTTTATGCCACTGTTTTTATCCAATCCATTCAATATGACTTCATAAAGTTTATAAAATGACTTGTCGAAGGCTTCCGCGGACAGTTAAGTGAATGACTTGCTTCCCGGGTGACACTGTATCGAAGGCTGTGATGCCCACATTTCGACAATCTAATCGTGGTCTTCAGAGCTGAGGTGCGCCAGGCGAGTAGCTATGCAGTACAGTTGAGTGTGTTGCAGCGAGGTGCAATTCCACCACACTTTACTGTATTGAAGCCATGCCTAACCGTAGGGAAATTAATGGCTAATCTGAAACACAAACTCAAACTGAGGTCAGGAAAGACTCTGCCTCCCCACCTCCCCTCTCTCCATAAAGATTTGATATAATGATTTGGGCGTAATTGCTGTATGTATCAGTATATCTGAAGGATATAGTTTCTTTTGTTGCATTTTGTGCAGTAAAGCAATGTATTAAATATTTTGAATTGCTCTTAAGAGTAACCTAGTTTTATTTGTGTTGCGTTTGTGTGCATTAAAATTTTGGGGAAGATTGATTATAATGTATGTATTACAGGTACTTTGTTCTTGCTCGAACGAATACTGATCCCAAAGCACCAGCTAGCAAGTCTTTTACAGGCTTTATTGTGGAGAGAGATACTCCAGGGCTGACTCCAGGACGTAAAGTATGTACGAGTGATTTTTTTTAGTCAAACACAATCTTATAGACGTGTTATAGAAAAAATAATATTTTCAGATAGTTGAGCTGATAAAAAGTTTTACCTGTGTCCATATCTCTCAGTACACAAACATCACATTTATTTTATGTTCATGTGAAACTAAGAATAGTTATTAGATTTCTAAAAAATATACATGATGAAATATTAGAGCACACCTCACTTCCTTTTTCTTATTAAATTAAAACTCTTTCAATTTTTCGGTAGTAGAAAGTATAAGAGTATGAATGTTTTGCGATTTTTTCCTAATTGTGTTGTTTGAACTACAGGAAATTAACATGGGCCAGAAGTGCTCTGATACCAGAGGTATAACCTTTGAAGATGTTCGTGTACCAAAAGAAAATGTGTTAATTGGAGAAGGTGCTGGTTTCAAGATTGCAATGGGAGCATTTGACAAAACAAGACCTCCTGTAAGTAGCTCCTTGCATTGTATGTTCGAAAATTTTGAAAAAGTGGGTTAGCTACCAGTCAGTTTTGGGTCTTTGCAAGTCATATAATTAAAACAAATTTTTAATTTGGCTTCATTAATCAAACCAACTAAAGATAAGCCATACGATTACCGTAATTGTATTTGGAAATCTGTCATTGCATTGTGCCATGTCAAATAATATAATAATATTAAGTCTCATGAAAGGAGTAGTAATAAAAATCAGGTTTTCAGCTTAGAGTAAAATTTTGTGGAATGCAGAAAGAGTTGAGAAATACACTTAACTCCAATATGAGGTTAACTGAGCCACCCACTTGGATTAAATGAGCCATCAGTGTGCATGTGGAACAATTCTATATTATGAGGAAATATTCCAAAATGTTGGAAACTTTATTTGTTATGAATCATTTTACAACAAAATAAGATATTGTACCCAATAAGTCTGCTATTTTTTAAGGTGAACTGTTGATTTCTATACATGAAATTTTTCATATTCATATGCAAAATTCCTCGCAGTTTTGATTGTTAAAGCACGGTGCAGCTCTTTGATAACATCCACACCCTAGTATTATGGAAAGGAATTTCAACAACAACATCTCTTTCACTCTTTTTACCTTTATTCAAAAAAAAAAAAACCATTAATTTATTACATTGTTAAAATTGAAACACAATCCTGCATCTGCAAGTAAAGAAAAATCACTGTAGGAGCATTTTGTTCTTAAGCCAATCACAAATGCAACTTTCATCCATATCATACTTCCTTTGTGCTGCACAGATACCAATTTGTTCTGTTTCAGTTAACCTGTTGGAACGTACTTTTAAAGAATCATAAGCTCTGCAAATTGCATATCTATTAAATGCCACAAAGTTTGTTTCACATATGCAGTTAATGTATTAGTTTATTAATTTTATTGACATAAAAAGTTAACATTTAAACCTGCCGTACTCAATTTTACAGGACAAAATAACACCACATTTGGTTATATCCAGGTATAAAATACAATTACAGATGTGCAATGGAGCATCCCTAATTAATTTTAGTTCAAGTTAAAACACATTTTCCCTTCAAGAACTTTTTAGATGGAGTAGCTCAGTTAACCTACATGACCAGTTACCCTCACTCTACCCTATTCTATTATGGTAGTGTATAGAGTTTAATGTGTGTGTGTGTGTGTGTGTGTGTGTGTGTGTTGATATTTATATAGTTTTGGAATCCATGTCTTGAATATCATGTACATCCATATGGTAGTTTTTTTCCCTGAAAGTGCTTCATATAAGAGTTGATTTTTCCAGGTTGCTGCTGGTGCTGTTGGTTTGGCTCAGAGAGCTTTAGATGAAGCAACTAAATACGCCTTGGAAAGAAAAACGTTTGGGGTCCCCATTGCACGTCATCAGGTATGCATTTGTCTGATAAATCAAACTTTTTTAAAGTAAAGTAATCCATAATTGCGACATTTATGTATCTTATATCTTCATCAAGATCTATCAAATTTCTATTAACATTGACATTTCCTTGTGAAAATTGAATATTTGTATCTTGTATAATATATTGTCACAATGTAAAAAAAATTGCTTTCTTTGCCTAAATTAATTCTGAAAGTAATCTATAGTAAAACGCTGCTTTTATGCTTAATCCGAGTACAGTAACAGGTTGGTTTTTATTTCTAATTTTGAATTTTCAAGTTTGTTTGATTATACAATGTATTAAGAGTATTTATTTGTAGAAAAAGAGAAAATAGAATTCTGAAACCATTATGTACCCGTTCTAAAGGCCCAATTAGGCAGATGCTCAGCTATGGCACATGCCACATTAGTCTGCACACTCTCAGGTTGTCATGTGCGTTGCTGATCACTGGTTGCTACGCGTCCTTGCAGAAACTCCCTGGGCATCTCGTGACTGTCCAGTATGGAAGGGCATTATTCCCAAAAGCTTCCATCAATTTCCTGTGACATTCTCGGGCATTTGTCCCATGGTGAACAGCTGTCTTGAAGTATGAACGCTGCTCCAAATATGTTACAATTATCTCACACACGCTAGTTGGAAAACTGATTTCACATTGCTCTTTATGCTAATAGACACACTCACAGAACCATCTGTTGATGTGAATACATCCTACCCCAGCATTTCTTATGTGACAAGTGATATTGTGTGATCCAATAACATTCTTTTAGAAAAAAATAGTTACTATGACTTCTACCCCAACCCTTGTATTTTATAAGCAAAATATATTTACCACCATCTAAACTTAACTGTGATTTGCACCATATTTCATTAGTCCCTTGAAAAGTGTAAAATAATTTTGTCTATTTGAAAGATACATTAAGTTAACAAATGGTCTCCTAATTTTGAGAGGTTTATATTCCTTTAATTAAATCCATTCTGACAGAGAAATTACTAATTTCATAACAAAGTACACATTAAATGTTTCTTTATTCTTCATGGAATAAAACTGTGCCTGTATTTTCTTGAGCATGTAATCCATCTAAATGTTTTCAGCTTCATTAAATGGCGCAAGAATGCTCTTTCATATATTGAGAAAGAAATATGTGTATGTGAGATAAGGACATTTTGGGGGAAATTCTTCAATCCTTTTGAGTTCTTAATTGGTTCTTTTATATGTGCATATCAAACAGAAAATCTCCATAATTCTTCCAATTTCCAAACTTCTGTCTACAGTTTTATCAAATGTGTAAATGTAACTCTTAGGAGTTCTGTGTATTCCATTCTATTGTTCTTTTCAGAAATAATTTATTCCATGTCATTCTCAGTTTTCTTTTCACATTTGTCATGTGTGTGTGTGTGTGTGTGTGTGTGTGTGTGTGCGTATGTGTGTGTGTGTGTGTATGTGCGTATGTATGTGCGTAAACAGTAATTTACATTTCATATTAGTGCCAGTATTTGCGGCTACTGTGTTCGCAGGCTGCATGCAAATGCACAGTTGGTCTTAATGTCTTTTGTAAGTTTATGAAAATGTTGTTATTGCTGTCAGTTAATGCCATTTCATGTTTCTCTTGAATCCTTCGATTAAAATTCACTAACTTTAACTGATGACGACGATGATGATAACGATGATTATGATTTTAAGTTACTTTTCAATTACTTTTTGAAAACTAAAATATAATAATTATTTAAGAAAATTAGTAGAGGTATGTGAATAAGAATTTTAATTAAGTAACTTCAAATCATAACTTTGCAAATTACAAAAGGTTACGTTTAAATCCAGAACTATATCGCAGCAAAAGTTATTTTTTCCTCAAGACAATAGTGTGAAGTGCATCTCTGGATATTTGTGAATGGACCAGTTATTGTACTGAACACTGTGGAAAGCACTTGTGATTGTTCTGGTGTTGGTGCTTTTAAATTCAGAATTTTGTTAAAAAGTTATTATCTTATGTCGATATTTACTCTTACGAGATTTCACAGTGAATGCACTCTAAATTATTTTCCATTTTAAGCACCTTTTACCATCAGTCCATGGATTCGTATGTGAAAGTATATTTTTATAATGCATATCTGACAGCTTGAGGCTTCTTACGTTTTTGGTTTTACTTGTTTTTTTATTATCCATTATTGAAGCTTATTGTGGAGTCTGCAATAATCAATTTCAATTAAAACAGTACTTGTTTAGTTTTATTTTATAGTAAAGGCCTCTGAAAAAGAAATTATTTCTACTAGTTTTATTTGGTTTTATTGTTTCATAGAATGTAATTGAATAGTTTCAAGTCTTTTTATGTATATTCTTTTATGTGGACACCAAACCATAGATGCATTTAAACACTTGGGTATACCCAGGGTTAGCTATAAATTTTTTTGAGCTTTAATGTCAGTAAAGTGGGACAAACTTGAAATTGGGGCAAACTTTTCCATGAACTGTAAACTCAAAGAATGGTCCTGTTGACATTCATAGCTGTCAAACTATCGATGTGGCGTTTGGTGCCTAACTGTAGATGCGGCCCTTGATGCCCAACTGTAGAAAGATTGATGAAGTAGATACTTAGAATCGCTGATCTGAAAACCTTAGGTTTAGACTTCTCATGTTAACACTGGGTGTTGAATTGTGAATTGTGCTATTCATAGCACATACTTCACTGTGGCTAAAATTGTATTACTTCTGTGTAATAATATATTTTGTTATTCTCACAAACTAATTTACAAAATGTGACAGACAGTGCTTAAGTGTCCAGTAACTTACTAGCACTAGTAGATGCTGTATTAGACTTGACTAGATGATTGATGTCAGAAAAGACACCATTAATCAGGTTTTGTGTTGAGTTTTGCATTTTTGCCTGCCAGATTCAGATGCATTTTTAAAAAAATTGATTAGTAGAAAGTTAAAATGAAATGCATCACCTTTGTGAAATTCTTTCATTTGGCACCTTTTTAGTGAAGATAGGTTGAGGGAGAGCCACAAACGGGGGGGCCTCTACTATAGAAAATAAGATATTGTGATGATCACTGTCAAGACATGAACTGGTGGAAGCAGTGGTACTTTGGGAGTATAGTGATTTACACAATAGAAATGATATCAATAAATTACATTATAATTAAATTTTAAACATTGAAATATGTAAATAAATTTTGGTATGTGTAGGCACTTGAATATAAGGTTAAAAATGAATTAAGGAAAACGCGGATATTCACAATAAATTGACTTGGAAGGGTAAATGTTGCTGGATCTTGTAGGGGAAAACATTTGTGTGATCTGTGTTTGCATTTCTTTATTTTTCTTACCCCTTTATCTATTTATATATAAAAAAATTTTAATTATTTTTGTTCTTTTCCTCTCTTGTTTTATCATAATAGATAATAACAACCTGCTGTACGTGTACCAATTTTAGTCTCCAGTTTCTTTTACTTTGAATATTTTCCCTTGCATTGTTTGTTTTCCTATCAAACATTTACTTTTATTTGCAGATTTTTCATTGAACAGTTTTTGACTTGTTCACCGTGGGTCTTTTAATGTGTACATTTATGGTATATCTTTATATCTTGTTATTCATTTATCTCATATCCATATTATCTCTTCTATTTCCATTTATTTGTATTTTTTCATCTTTTACTACTCCTTCATCTTTCATCTTTTACTACTTTTTCATCTTTTTTTCTTTTTTTATTTTGTCCTTTTTCCATTTTTTTAGTTTTTACTTTTTTCATCCTCTTTCCTGAATTCTGTCTTGATTATTTCTGTTCTTTTCTCTTCCTGCCTTTTTTATACAATATTTTGAAGTATCTGTGTAATGTGATACCTTACCAATCAAAACAAATCTATCTGATTTATAATACTTTTTTTCTGGACACCCTAATTCAAAAGCAATAAAACAAGAGAAAGCCTATAAGGTGATCATCGTGTAAGTAAAGTCAAATTTCAAAAATCATGCTTGAGATGAGTATTGTAAGTAGGGCCAGTTTGTAACAAAATATGCTTCACTGTGCAAATTTAGTTTTAGAAATGAAATAAGCCAACCGTTTAGATGTTTGGAGGGTTAGAATAAGATTACTGAACTGTAACTTGTCACTTCAGTGTTTAAACGACTTTAGTGCTTCATCTGTGTGTGCTGAAATTCATTTCTAAAAGCATTTCAAATAATTTTAAAATATCATTTTGTATAAAACTAATGTGAGGATGTAAGAATGCATGCCAAGGCCTTAAAGAACACTGTCAACACAAGTTTTCCAGCTAAGTTGTTTTGCGTGTTATAGATTTCTTATTGCTAATCTTGTGTGTTTTGTTCTACTGTATGGATGGGTGGGCTTGTTTGAACAATGAAGACATCATTTACAATAACTACTTCATGCTGAGTAGCTATGGGGTTGCAATGTGAAATGGAAAACTCATTCTCTTGTAATTGTTAATTCTTACAACTTGTTAAACTTTTAAAAAATGTCACATTAAATTTTATGAAAATATGAGTATATTTGGGATATTTTTTTCTTATAGTAAAGCCCCCCCCCCTTTTTTTTTTTCTTTTTTCTTTTTTTTTCTCTCTCCTTAAAGACTGCTCCATTTTTTTTCTTGGATGGAGCAAAGTAGGCTTTCCATTGATTTCCTTGGATAGAGCAAAGTAGGTCTCGTTTTTGTGGAACTATCAACATTTCTGAAAGTTGTAAAAGTTACAAATAATGTGAGAAAGTATGAGCTGATGTAGCACCACTAGTTTATGGTTGTCACACTCAATATAAAGAGTCGAAGGGGTTAATATCCAATAATTCTATCAGTGGCATCACACTTCTTACTGACCTCGCACATTTCTAGCCATCAATGGGTATTTAAATGAGGTTCTGGAAAGTTCTTGATTTTTCTATTACCTTTCACTGTCTTCTATTTCTTGTTAGTTTTGTGGTTGTACAAGGATCTTCTCTTCTCAATTTCTTAAATAATTATGTAATAATGAAATTTGTTGTCTTAATTGGTAAAAGAATGAATGTTACAGAAATCGTTATTCAAACCTGTGTGTAAAATCACAAAAATGTATTAAATTAAATCGTTAAGAAGAAAAAAAGAATAGAAAGATTTTCAAAATGTGTATTAATAATAGAATTTTATACTAATTGGAAATGTCATTGTTAATTAATTTGATTTTCTCTTAAAATTTAAATTGTTCAGCTTTTTGCTTTTCTTTTCCTTTTTTTCTCCCATACAACAGATCCATCTGAAAATGTATATGGTTTCTAGATATAGATAGGTTCCAATTCACACTAGTGCATTTTTACCTAGATGTATTAATTGTAGATTTTCATAGTTATTCTTACTTTCTTCCAGGCTGTTGCTTTCATTCTGGCTGACATGGCAATTGGTGTTGAGACTGCCCGGCTTGCTTGGCAACGAGCTGCATGGGAGGTGGATCAGGGAAGGCGAAACACAATGTTGGCTTCTATTGCCAAAGCCTATGCTGCTGATGTGGCCAACAAAGCTGCAACTGATGCTGTTCAGGTAAGCATTATGTCCCCTGCATCTCTGCATACTAAGATAGAGAACATATGTATATAAAAATTCCACAAAATTTAATTGTGTTCTTCCTAGATGTGTGACAACTACTTGTTATTTACATTTAAAGCTTTGACCCCTCAAGGGCTCATGTTAATAGTATTTTATGGAGTCTATTTGAGAACTCACTTTTTTCATATTGTACCAAGAGTAAGATAAGAAAAATTTTGGTATTTTAATGTTTTTAATGCTTGTATGTGGTGATTATAAAGTACAATTTTTATGTACCCACAAAAATACACTTTCATTACTAATTATTTTAAAAAGAGAACATATATTGATGAACAAATACAAACAAAACATAACCCAACATAAATCAAAGATGCTATATTCCACAAAGTTTCGACCGCCTTAGCTTCATCAGGTCTGAAACTTTGTGAAAAAACCTAAATTGCTACAAAAGGATCCTGATTTAAATTATTAAAATAATCTCAAGATGAAAAAACTTTATTTGAAATAGCACATACTGATCTTTTAAATGTAGTAGATTTTTGGATTAACATTTGCCAAAAGTATATTAATTAAAATTTTATTTTAAAAAGTTTGTATTCTTCATTTAAAAGGTCAGTATTCAAATATTTCTAGCCTTTAGCTCGGATGCGTCTTCACTTTCTCAAGATTCTCAATGTGGCCTCAAGCCACACAAAGTTGAAATGTGGATGGAAAAAAACTGATCGTGTATTTTTTACGAGAAGACTTTGGTACATATTCAAAACTTTTCAATTCTCAACATTGAATATAGAGATTTCTTTCTTAAAGCAATGTATTTCTCAATATGAGATCTTTGTCATTTCATGTACAGTTATTTTCACATTAGTGGTTGTTTTCAAGTAATTTTTATTAAAATTATGACAATTTTCATAAAGTACCCAAACTTTTTCTCAAACTGCTTTAAATTTTATGTTGAATCCTCTTGTAAGGTTAGAGCACAATATTTGGCGTAAGTGGCATTTTCATTAAAAAGTTTATATTTCAAATTTGTATTTATTTATATTTCAAGTTTGTATTTCAAAACTTTTATTATTTCTTTCAAACCTCTTTTGAGTTGATATTTACATTATAGTGGTATTTTATAATTTAATGCATTGTAGACATAAATGATTCAAATAATTTCTTATGAAGTTAATAAAAACCTCTAGACAATTCAAGCAGGCAACAAGGTATTCAGGACTGTAAACTGAAGGGTCATTTTAGTTCAAGAATCAAAATGGCCTAATTTATTTATATAGTTGCAAGTAAAAGTACAGATTTTCCAACTGCAAAACACCCTGGGCTTTCAACTGCAAATGTGAAATTTTGTTGCTCCCATATGTAAATAGTTTCTACTATACATTATGTAGTCAGAATCCATGTTTTGTGCATCTCGGACATCAAAATTGTTCATCTAATAACATCTGTCTGCCTTCAAATATCTAATCTGTTTACTGAATTGGCACAATGATTAATATTCCTGAATCGATCTTACTGAGGTCACCTTCAAATTTCAAATACACATTTTAATTTTGTGGGGGCTGTACATGAGGTTCTGCAACAACATGAGGTGCTGCAACTTTCTTCGAAAATTGTTCTTTTTTTCCTTTATGGAATAGTGCATTGTACATTTATAAAAATTGCACAGGTCTGATTTTCAATACAACCCCAGAATGTTCAGGAAATAGAATTTTTTAATATATTTTTTTCCTCAAAATTAGTTTTTTAAATAATATCATACAATTTTTTTAAATTAGAGTAAATTTCCCATAAGTTTGGGTGAGATTGTGACTTTTTAAAAAAAGATTTAATTAAACAAAATTTTCTCAAAAACTACTTCATTTTGCCCACAAATATTATTAGTTTTCATGTATTTTAGAATGTGTTACAATCACCACAACATTAAAAGTTCAGATTAATATTTAAACTTCACCTTTCGAACAGAAGCCATCGCTGCAATAAGGATAAGATGCCTGAATAGTGACCCGCCATTACTACAAAACAACCATCAGTGTTCTTGTTGTATTACATTGCATAAACAATCTACATTCTTTAAGCTATGGAATACCAAACTGATTCATTTTCAAGAAAAATGGGATATCCTTCACGTTTTCTATTGATACTTATTTTCGTTTTTACTTTTTTGTCCACTGCTTACAAAGTACTCTAATGCTGTGGGAACAGACGTCGATTTTTTGATGGATACTCTTATTGCTGGGCCCTTGTGATGGAAAAGTGAATAAATCTTGTTCCAATATATAGTAAATTACTTCCTCTAACCCATTGTGTGGATCTTTGATTGTGGGAAAATTGTATTATGGCAAAAGTCTGTCTGAGAACAATGTTAGCACCTAAACTATTCAGCCTATTTTCTCTGGAATTGAAATCCTTCCATCGATTTGAAGGAACTCAAGGTCCTCTGAGTTGAAAATGGATATTTTATTACTGTGGATACTTCACATAAAGCCTCAGCATCGACTTCAAAATTTTCTCCAAAATAACTCAATTTTTATCTTCAAATGTTTTTCTCTGGCGAAGCAAAACATGCTAAAGAAATGGTTTATTATTATTATTGAACTCTCTGAATTTGCAAAACTTGCATAAGTTCAAAATATTTTTGGCGACTTCCTACAACTAATACACAGACATTTTTTTCTTTAATGAAATCTATTCATCAAAAACAGATCGTTTGTAAAGGTCGTGAACTTATTTTTTTATATGAGTAGTTTCACTTAATTTTTGCAATTTTCAAAATTGCAAATTAGAATTTCCTGCATTCCATTTGCTAGTCTTTCATGAGATGTCAGGTTGCAATACAATGGCAATGCTGCGCCATGACATAGCAGTTTGAAATTCTGAGAATTTCTTCTCATTGTTGGAAGATGTAGCTGTATGAAACAGTTTCAGTTGTTGAATTTGTGTTGATATATTAGCTTTAAAAAAAATTAGTTTTTGAACCTAATTTTCCATGAGTTTTGCAAGTGGTGTCTTAATGAGTTTATATGCACAAAAATTGTATTATATTACACAATAGTTGTTAAGTGCGAGAATGTATATGCTGAGAGCGTAGGCTTCTGCGGCCGGAGTCAGTATTTGGGCCGGAGTCGGTATCAATAATAAAAAATAAAATAATAATGTATGTGCTGTTGAAACCACTAATTTTTCTTTCCTTCCATCCATTCTTTCTTCCTTAGTTTCTATAAATGAATTTATTTCTTCTGATTGTATCTTTTAGATTTTAAGATAATTTAAGTGATCACGTACTGGATGCTTGTCAGTAGAGTGAAAATTGAAGGGGAGTCTTCCCCTTCTACAGTTTGATGATACTTGCTGGAAATGACTTAATTTTGACCTTGCCAGGAAATCTATATTAAGACCCTCAATTATATTTTCCACATTTATTGAAATATTAAAACTAAGGAATCAAAATCAAGAAAATCGAACAAAAAACCCTTGTGGAAAGAATTTTATAATTCGTTCAGCCTGTGTTGTGCGAGATGTTCTTTTATTCGCGTGTCATTTCTTCAATTCATTCCTTCCTGGAATTTCAAAGTTCCCCCTCGAGAGAAATCTTCCAATTTGCACTCTGCTCGCCAGTAAGACATATTATTTCAGAATTTGTTTAAGTGCAGTTTTCTTAAGTAAACTTTCTTCATTCAAGCTGCATTGTAGGGATTAACAAAATTACTGAACTTTCTATGACATGAAGTGAGTTTGGACCTTGATCACAGAAAGTAGACATAAAAATGGAAATTGTGATTGAATGCATTAAATTTGTGTTCTACTATTGTTTAACAAGATTGATGTAAATCTGTTAGAACCAGAACAAAGTGCAAAACTTTTACCAGCATTGCATTTTGGCTTGTGAAAATGACCATGGCAATTTTAAATTTCATTTGTTGTTGTCTTGAAAATTTGTAATTTTCAAGGGAAGCATATTGTCTTTTATAATATCATCTCTTTGTAGTTAGTTCATTGTATATTCTGTTGAAATTATATTGGAAAGTATAAATTGAGTATTGAACTTCGGATCAGCTGCAATATTTGTGTAGGTGTTACAGATTCAAGATGTTTCCATGTGACACGATTCTTAGCTATTAGTTATCATTTATTCTGCTGCATTAAGTTGATAGTGAAGTACTTATGTATATCTTTCTACATTCCTTGAAAGTAGGGAAAGGTTTTGAAACTTTTGGCCAATGGCCTGCACATCGAGAGGGAGAGGTAGAAGAAGAGAGAGGTTGAAATGACTGATTTTTTCCCTTGGAAATTGAAATTCTCATTAAAAAAAATTTCTAATGAGAACAGATTCATACTCTGTGTATAACTCTGTTGTCTTATCTATCCCATAGTACCTTCACCCTGAGGTTGCCCGTAGGCCAGTTTTCATAGTTTTCTGTTTCTTAATACTCTTCAAGATACTTAGGTCTTTGTCGGCTCTTGTCTGCTTCTTTTACCACTAGTTCAGATGGGCTGATTGTAAGTGAATGCTAGTTACAGATGAGATGTATAGAACTAGGGGTTGATTTCTGGCGAAACTACATTCTGGTACCTGGGGGAAGCAGAGGACTTTGGAAACTTCAATTCAACCAACTTTCGTAAATTCAAAATTAAATAATTAAATTTATTATTATTATTATTATTATTATTATTATTATTATTATTATTATTATTATTATTATTTATTTATTATTATCCTCGAGGAAGTGGTAAAACTGTAACCAATTGTTATTAAGTTATGTACTTATAACCATTTCTATTAAATTAATAATGAATTTGGGGCACATTCTGGGACGTAAAATTTTATAAATCGAGCATTGTATGAACTATAAAATGACTACCGTACCATGAATGTATAATGCTGTATGTGGGTATGGAACCCATGCTCTGCGACTACCTCAAAAGACCATGCTACATAAGGTACCTATGAATAGAAATTAGTTTTTATATAAAATTTTCATTTTGTCGCCATGCTTTTCATTCTATCATAGTCTTTGGAACATAAAGTTTTCCTGCACTGATTGGAGCTTTAGTAATAGTAAAATAGTACTTACAGCTGTACTCTTAAAAAATTAAATTTGTGAAGAAAAAAAAACATGTTGGAAATATTCTATAGATTAATAGAAAGAAGTGGAAGATATAAATTATTTAAAAAAATGTATTCGGAGGTGGCAACAGAAAATAAAATTTAAAAGAAAAAGAAAATAAAAGAGTAATGTTGAAAAAATAAGCAATCCAAAATGCAAAACTGCATTTGTAAATCTGAGTTTATGCTGCTTTTCAAGATTACTCGTTTGTGAATAAGAAATTTATGTGCAAGAAGAATTTATGTAGCCATTATTTATGTAATCTTTGTATCCTGCAATACTTAATTAGTACAATCCATTGCAGTACCTTGGGGCTTATACATTAATATATCATTTTTGTATTCATTATTGTACATTAAGGTATTGAAACGATTTTTATCTCTATTAAAGTAGGGTATTAGAATTGTTTGTGATTGTACAGTTTAATCTAATAGTTGTTATTGTGATCCATCTCTTGTCTGGTCGTCTTACTTACCTTCGAATCGAATTAGTGCAATTTCTTTCATTATGTACTTGTTATCAACTGTATTCATTATTGGGTAAAATCTTTTTTAGGAAAATTCTATTGAAAAATCTAATTTTCAATGTCTGTTCATGACTGTGTATTAAAACTGTATAATATTTCTTTGGTGTATATATTATGCTGTCCTTGCTCGTTAATGGGTATATATTATAATTATTTTCTTTTCCTTCTTGTTCAGGTGTTTGGAGGTAATGGATTTAACAGTGAATATCCAGTTGAGAAGCTTATGAGGGATGCTAAGATATACCAGATTTATGAAGGAACTGCGCAAATTCAGCGCCTTATTGTTTCTCGGGAGCTCTTTGAGAATGCTGCTCAGAAACAGTAATAGAGTTTTATGTGTGGTATGGTGTGAAAATAGCAAATTGATACCTTCAAAATGTTGAATTGCACTGTAAACTGTGTAATTGCCAAAGAAGACTGATACATTTGAATATCTGTAATAACAAAAAATGTGCTATTGTGCATAAATACACACTTTTCAGTGTCCTGTGTTAAGTTAAAATGACTGTTCGTTTTTTTTTCAACTGTATTTTTGTACATTTTTCTAAAATTTGTATTATGAATTTGTAATTAACATCCTGAATGAAAAGACAAGTTCAAAAATAAAGTATTAAGACGTTGACACAAGTTGAGGTGTGCTCAGGTGTGAAAAATTAGGTAAGTTTGGATTGCTTTGAATGTATTAAGAGTGTTTACATCATAGTTTGAGTTTTGGTTTGGGCCGAGAATGTACTTTCAAAGTTTATTTTTAGATATAATAAATGTTATTCTTTTACTTTTGAAATTGAGTTAATCTCTGTGTACATATTTTGTGTTTCTCTTTCTTTTCTTCTTCCAAAACTCGTAGTTTACCAAATTTTTTTAATAAGTTTAGTTTCTTCTTTGTCCTCTTGTCTCCTCTTTCCACTTCAAATGAAAATTCAAATTTTCATTGTAATTTTACCACTTCTACTTAGCAATGGCCTATTTTTCTCAGTACTTCATAGTTGCAGCTTGAATGTTATTAGTAGGTATACACAAATATTCATGACCTATTAGCTTCTGCTTATTAATAATCTAACTGACCACACTGAATTGTCGTTTGTTTTGAGGCAGTATTGTTTTTCAGTACAGTTTGTTTGGCAGTACAAAACAAAAGCAATTTGATGATGAGATCTCGTGGTAAGAAGTGTAATACATTTGGTGTATATCTACGTTCAGTACATACCTAAGTGTATGGTAATTTTATTCCCTGACAAAAAACAATGGACTGCAGTGTGTGGAGTATTGTTTTTCTATAAACATATTCTGGGATTTATCAGCTTGCTAGCATATTACAACTTGCCTTCAGGTATTTTAGGAAGCAAAAAGGTAAACTGTGGGCAAGGTGTGCACTGCCATTATTTTCTTCTTAGTGTAGAAACCCTTTCCTGTGACGTGTTCATAACAAGTACTTTTCTCTGAATCACTGAGGTGTGCATTTGCAAATAAACCTTCAGTTTGCACAGGAACCTCTGATGTATTGTTGCATTACTATGCTTAATCTTACACTCCTACATTATTGCATTTGTGGTTGTTCTATCACTAGGAAAATTTGTATGCAGTCTCCTTTGTAAATTTTTTATTTCGAGCCACTGTAAAATTCTGTATACGCACTCCTGAAGGAACTGCCACTGATTTGCATCCACCAACCTTCCACTCCCTTATCAAGACCACTAATTTTTTTGTTACTCTTTTTTTTTATTATTATTATTATTATTATTATTATTATTATTATTATTATTATTGGAAGTATCTTCTTTTGGTGTGATTATTTAATTTTTTCAATTAGTTTTTGTTGTTGTTGTTGTTGTTGAAGCAGCATCTAGTGGTGGTTACTTGTGGATTTCTAATGAACTTGGAATTGAAAAATCCGTAACGAATATTTTCAATTTAAAAAATTGCTCTAAACCTGAGCCTATTTAACAAATCCATTTAAATCTAGAAAATCAATTTAATAAACAAGTTTATTTAGTAGCTGTATTTTGATTTGCTGTAATTTTAACCGTTTTTTCTTACTTCAAAAGCGTAGTTTCATAAATATCAATAGAGAATTATCATAAAATTAATGCCAACCTTAACACTAATAACCTGAACCTACATATTATGATGCAAAAAAAGTAGCATAGCATGTAACTACTTCTAGTTAATGCCAAATATTAAATAGGAAATATACAGAACATAGAAACATCCTGTTTCTTAATGTATTAAATATAAATATACAAGCATTTTAGGTGTATTGTTTTTAATTCTACCGTGAAAGAAGCATTAAGTTTAATTTTAGCTCTGAAGTCAAATTTGGTTTATTCCTGGTTCACTTTTTACATAATTTGCGTTTTAACCCTTGCATTATTTACTTTAATTCATGTGATTATTTCAGCATTTCAATGAAAGAATTTAACCTCTTGGTTGATTTCAAGTGCTCTTCCAAGACAAGTTGGCCAATTAATTCTACTAATTCTAATCTTTGTTGTATTTAATCATTCATTGTTCAGCTTAGTATTATTTAGTTGGCACAAAATGCTCATGCTTATCCAATCTAATCTGAATTTACACAGATATTACTGTTTAGAACTGATTTCAGAATATATTATCAAGTATTCAGAACATTATTGAGTGAGAGGAAATGTATTAATTTTGACCTTGCCAGGGAATCTATTTTAAGGCCTTCAATTATATTTTCCACATTTTTGAAATATTAAAACTAAGGAATCAAAATCAAGAAAATCGAACAAAAACCCTTGTGGAAAGAATTTTATAATTCGTTCAGCCTGTGTTGTGCGAGATGTTCTTTTATTCGCACGTCATTTCAATTCGTTCCTTCCTGGAATTTCAAAGTTCCCCCTCGAGAGAAATCTTCCAATTTGCACTCGGCTCGTCAGTAAGACATATTTCAGAATTTGTTTAAGTGCAGTTTTCTTAAGTAAACTTTCTTCATTCAAGCTGCATTGTAGGGATTAATAAAATTACTGAACTTTTTAGGACATGATTACTTAATATTTTTTCTTATCAAGAGAACATATTATTTTGAAGTGAGTTTGGACCTTGATCACAAAAAGTAGATATAAAAATAGATATTGTGATTGAATGAATTACATTTATGTTCTGCAATTGTTTGACAAAAATTGATGTAAATGTGTTAGAACCAGAACCAAGTGCAAAACTTTTACCAAGATTGCATTCTGGCTTGTGAGAGAAATTTTTGTGCTCATCAGTTTACAAGAAAAAAGATAAAATAAATCATTAATGGTTAATGAAAGAAACCAGTAAAGAGCTAACAGTGCGCTGAATTTAGATGATGAAGCAGAGATACCATCTTCCAGTACAGCCTTGAAGAAACTTTCCATTCTCCCATGAAACACTTGAAGCAGGCCCTAGATTGCACATTACTGTTTGTAGAGAGGGGTAAGGTGGCCATTATTGTACTGTCTTAACACCCATAAGATCATTAAATAAGAGACTGAATATAGACATAAGAGCTGTTCTGACCAATTGAAATTGGAAATAATTACTGTTAAATTTTCCTTTTCAGGATTGGTCCCTTATGGTTATTTTACCACTTGAGCTTTTGGCAGTGTGTATGTAGAAGTAATTAATAAAACCTGCATCATAATTTTTAAAATGCACCTTTAATTATTTAGGAGATTAACAAAGATGAAAGAAAAATAATCAACGGGAAGATGTGTTTCCAAATTGATATCATATGTTCGTGATACCATTAAATTAATAGAAAAGTGGAGAGTAATTTTTGAAGAATTCAAGTGCTCTCTTGAACCAAAATAATTTGTTTGCATTCATATATTGTGTCATGGACCCTGTGTTCTGTTCTCAATAGCTGTACCATATCAGGAAAGTGTTTTGACTTAACTACATTGTTTTTCAGAGTTTCAGATGGAAAATAACACAAGTGGTAGTGTTTCTTAACAAAAAAGAACCCCAGCAAGAAATACAGTACTTGAAACATTCTTTAGGGAAAAGTGATTAAATCGTATTTCAACAGGCAAAATAAATTAATATGCGCCTCAATTTGTTTAAAATTACCCCCTAAGAAAGAAAATCTAAGAAACAATTTAGTGTTATACAATACACAGTTAATTTAATAATTTAAGTCATGGCAACCTTTATATTACCTGAAGTACTTAGCTTGAATATTTTGCAATTATTTGAATATCTTAGATAAATTTACCTACTTAGATTGATCCAAAAACAAAGATTTGAAGGCAACATTGGACCAATGTGTACAGAACTGGCAATTTGGACTCTTAAAATCAAAGAAAAGGAAAGGGAAAATATTCATAAAAAATATAAGTTGCAAACATTGCACATGTCAATACATTTCTCTAAAATAATTTGTTAGAACATTATTTAATTTCACTGAACTGATCAACAACATTTTTAAAAATTTCAGTTGCTTAAGATTCCTTTTACTGAGAGTTATTATTTTTGACCTAATTTAAAATCTGACAACTTTTGTTCTCCATGTTATGGTTCCTATGCGATTCAAACTTATGCATTCCAGCCCTTTGCAGTCAGTATTCCTTCAGCAGTTAGGCCTAGAGTTCACTCAACAACCATTTCCAACTAATTCCTGTTTTTGAATGGTTTACTCTTTAGGAAAATAAGGATAATGACAAAAGGCTGGAGATAATTGATGAAACTTAAGGAAAACATCCAGAAGTGGATGAGCCATTCTTCTAGTACTTCACAATTCTTAACTCCTGTGTTGCCAATTTGTACTGAATGACTTTGTGTGATTTAAGAGTCATTCTTGCTGGTAATGGAAAACTTTCTGGACAATAAAGACTACTCTCTTTGTAACAGTTCATGTTGTCGGCATTTCATGACATCATGAGTGTAAAATTCCATTTTCTCTAGTAAACTTGGTAGGTTTCCTGGGAACATAAGAGGAATAAGTTTCAAGCAGGGTGAGCACTTCCAGTTTCTCTTCTTTCAAGACCATGGAAGAGCGCTATTAGGGAGAAGGGACAAACCTGTAAGCAGAGTCATTCTAAAAGAATGAAAAAGATTGTTATGAAAGAATCTGCAAATGCAAGAGCTAGCAACATATATCTGTCTTAGTATAATGCACTTTATCTCTGCTTTAGAGCAACTAATGTGAAGTATGTAACAATCACTTATATGAATTGTAACCTTTGCTCATGACAATATGAATTTCAATTTGTACCATTAGAGAAATTTAGACTATGTTGCAATTTCAATTTCAGTACTAAGTTAATTTAAAGGGAGTTTAATAAAATATTTCTACATACACGTACCATAATGTTAATGAGAAGAATATGAAATCTTAAATTTGGCACATGGTGATTGCAAGGGGAAGAAACAACAACCAAAAAACCTCAGATTAGTTTATTACATTAGTTGATAGCATCAGAACAAAAATGAAAAATATTGCTGATTAGTGCAGACAATCAATAAAAAAAATGCTCATTTTTCAGTTTTTCAATGTGCCAACTGCACTGCCAATGGACTGCATTAAAAAGGAGACCTTCAGTGTATTTTAAAATATCTCAGACACTAATAATTTTGCACATACTAATATAAACGGAAGTAAACCAGTAATGTAATGTGAAGAAATATATTATTTTTTATAATGAAGACTGAAAGTAATATAAGAAAACATTTTAGTAAGATTTGTATCCAATAAGTTGTTTTTGTGTTGATTCATTAAATAATAATAATAATAAATTAAAAAACTAAGTGAGGGAATTAGAATGTTGCTTTCTGTGGAATTTGGTTCTTAAAATTAAAAGACATTCATTACCAAAAAGAGAGAACTAAATCTGTAAAAAATATTTATTTACTGTAGATTTA